AGAGCCGTGAAGGGGAATGTTGAGAAAACGAGAGAAGTTACTAACTGGCCTGTTTTCATTCGCATCTATCACCCTTCACTGGTGCTCCGCCAGCGTATCCCGTTAGCGCAGGCGGGGTTACCATTCCATTTTCACCCATAAAAAAAATGCAATAGAGAGTTAATAATAAAAATATTTCTTTATTTATACTTTATATTACACCTTTTATAAATATATTCATCGTCATCATCATACCAGCCTTAACTGTCCATTGCTGAGCATAAGCCTCCCCGTTGGGGGGTTTTGCCTGTAGTTACCACGCTTGGCAGACGGATTGGCAACCGCGATTAAGCTTTGGAGATGTTTTAACAGAGACGCTGCTGTCCATCCTTCGCCCTCCCTTAATCGCCTCTTACGACACCCACGGGAAAGGAAGAGGCGACCCGTTCTCTAACGCGACCACACGGGAATAAATATAATAAATACAGTTTTCTCAAACATGCTTGGAAATATAAGCATTATTTTGACAATCTTCTTCGAGATAAATCAAAATTGCCGTACTGACCAGATACATGCGGGCAGCGGCCGGCAAAAGTTGTATGAAAATCCATATCTGTCGTATTATATAAATTACTATGTAAACTCATATCTGTCCTGTAATTTAAAAATAGAATGACCTTTTCCTTCGAAACATGGCTACCAAGGAGGTAACTAATAGAAGGTTTTATTTAAATTTCGAACTGGCTTGCAAATAGAAAGCTGTTTATTGAAAAAAAAAACAAAGGAACATTATGGCGCGTGAAAAATTATTATTGTTCGTTATTCGTCATTGAACTTAAAAAGTAAAATTGTGTTTTTGATTTCCGCGCATTGTTTGAGAAAAGTACTATACAAGCCTTGGCCACAACTAGGCATTGATGGACTCACGTATTTGTGCCTCGGCTGCGCCTCTACCCACATTTGCACGTTCGTCCATCAATACCTCAGTTGCTGGCCGCTGCAGTAATGTACTATAATTTAAAAAAAAGAAAATACTGAGTATGCAATAGATTCTATGCCGTGACCACATGGTGAATGACCTTCATTGACTGTCCTCGTTAGAAAGGAGTTCTAAATTTAGTACAATAGGATTACTATACTAATAATAAAATATATATTCTAATTTTAAAACAGGATATTTTTTATAACATGTACCTATATATTGAAACAGAAACATCATAGAGAGTCGAAAACACGACGGAATACAATACAATATCGTATATCCCGTAATCCGATTTCAGCGTGTAGGTACCTTTCAAAACTTTTTCCCGCAAACAATTTGTTTGTTTTGTACCGAGTTAACGCCGGGGCGTGTCGCTTGGAATGAATCTAAAAATAAAAATATACGCGGGTTAGAAAAATTTCTGGAATAAAATTATATTTGGATTAAGAATTAGAAAGTCCATAAGGGCGAACCTTTACAATTGTCAGTGGCAAGGAGACATTTTGACAGATCGCGAAATAATAACAAGTGTAGCGTTATGAAAGTCTCTCTCCCAAGAGAGAAGCATGTCGAAAACAAAGCTGTATCTAATACAGATATTTGTTCGAGATCCTTTTTTATTTTCCATTTTTATTTTAACGAGTGTATTTATTTCATTTTAACTACCACAGCTCATGAACAGCGACACCAGGAAGGATGTCACTCGTGTTGACAAACCTTGTTACAATCAATATTATCTAAGCATATACATACATACATATATATTTTCTTGCCATATCTAAAGAGCATCTTCCATATTTATAAACATAGTGTGTGTGTGTGTGCGTGTGCGTGTGCGTGAGCTTTGCGTGAGATTAACTACACTATGCCTCTGTACTCCATATTTATCCATCATATTCATATTTCTATTATTCTACTAGAGGTAGACTTTGTACAAAAGTCGTTTGCTTGGGTACCTCTATCTCATTCGTGTTTCTACCGTGAAGCAGTTGTGTTTGCATGGCTGTGTTTCGGCTTGAAGAGTGGAATATGGCAGTAAATTTACAGGGTACAGAGAAATAACACCTGATTCCTCAGGAATGGCAACGCATGGGGGGTATCATGGGCGAAACAGTATACTCTGTTATGTCCATAGTACTGCTCATGTGTGTAACAATCTGACAGTCCACCTGATGGAAAGTGGTAACCGCCACTTATACACATGAGCATGATACACTGACCTGCTTTCATCGTCACCTATCATCTATCACTGGTGCCCCGCCAGCATATACCGTTAACGCAGGCAGGGTTACTATTGCATTATCACCCATTAAAATATACAGTGAGTGTAAAAAGTATTCGTACACCTAGGGTTATAATAAAAAAAATACGAATTTGATAGACTTTCCTCTATTTATTTAATTTAAATCAATACTGTTAAATAGTTTAACATTCCCGCACTTTGTTTATGATAATTTTTGTTTTTTTAAAAAAAAATTATACAACTTAAAAATATTTTTACGTTAACTAAGCAAATAATGACAAACAAAAAGTATTCGTACATTCATTCTTTTTTAAATGAAATTCTGTATAAATCATTTATTCAATCGAATTTTTCATATGCCTACAATGCCAAGGTCATTTTTAATACGTAGGTATAGATATTAGACGTTTTAGTTGCACTCGTGACAAGTATAGACGTGTTTAGTTACAAAAATGGGTCGTAAAGCAAAAGAAACGAGTGAAAAGGAGATAAATAATTATTAATTTGCATAATCAATGCAAATCATTATGTGAAATTGCAAAATTTGTCAATAGACCACGTTCAACCGTACAGACTGTAATTGATCGGTTTTCTATTACTAAAACACTAAAAAACAAACCCAGAGGTGGGGCGTCCATCAAAAATCACGCCTCGATTGGATCGGAAAATTTTAAATTGTGTAAAAAAAAATCCAAAAATTAGTGCCCCTCGAGTGTTACAAGAAATTAATAATATCAATGATTGCCATATTTCTGTCAGTACCGTTCGGAACGTATTACGTAGTAACGATTATCATGGAAGAACTGCGCGTAAAAAGTATTGGGTAAATGATATTAATAGAAAAAAAAAGATTAGAATTCGCAAAAAAATATATTAATGAAAAAAATCATTTTTGGCAAACTGTTATTTACTCAGATGAATCGAAATATAATATTTTCAAATCGGATGGACATCATATGGTATGGAGAAAACCTAATATGGAATATAAGAAAGAAAATTTATGTCCAACGGTAAAACACGGTGGTGGGTCAGTATTTGTATGGGGTTGCATGAGTGTTTTTGGGGTGGGAAAACTTGCATTTATTGATGGAATTAGGGATCACAAAACGTATATTAATATTTTAAAAGAGAATCTTCTCTTTAGTGCAGCTCAAATGGGTTTTAACAATAATTGGATATTTTTACAAGATAATGACCCTAAACATAAAGCATGGAATATTAAAGCATGGATCCTGTTTAACACTCCAAAATACCTAGAGATTCCTCCTCAATAACCTGATATTAATATTATAGAGCATGTGTGGGATTATCTCGATAATAAAATTCGAAATCGACCAATTTCGAGTAAAGAAACACTAAAAATTGCGCTTCGCGAAGAATGGGCATTGATACCGTCTTCTTATATTTTCAAACTAGTTGATTCGATGCCGCAGAGACTCCAAGCTATCATCAATGCTAACGGTGGTCCAACAAAGTATTAATATTTTTTTAATATTCATTTACTTACAAATTTTATAAGTGTACGAATACTTTTTGTTTGTCATTATTTGCTTAGTTAACGTATAAATATTTTTATGTTGTATAATTTTTTTTATTAAAAAACAAAAATTATCATAAACAAAGTGCGGGAATGTTAAAATATTTAATAGTATTGATTTAAATTAGATAAATAAAAGAAAGTCTATCAAATTCGTATTTTTTTTATTACAACCCTAGGTGTACGAATACTTTCTACACTCACTGTATATATATATATTGCTCTATATGACCCACCTCTAGTTGGTAGATAACGAGTCTTAACGCTCATTATAACAGTTAATTGTTACCTGCCCGTTAAACAATAGCCGTTAATGTATAATGTTATCATGACGGAACAATTACGGAATTACCATTTAATGCCACATGTCCGCCGCTTTGTTACAACATTATTCCTTTGTTATTATTTACTGTTACCACGTTTAAATTGATGTTGATAAATGAGGTTTCATTTTAGATAAATCCGCATACCTAATTTAAATATATATATATATATTTAAATACATATTATTTTTACAGATCTATTTTTTGAACGCGCCACCTACCTAGTTATTCTTTAGTTCTTTCTACCCAAAGGTTGTTTGGAAGAGATTGCTTAGCAATAAGACTGCCTTTTGTACTACACTTTTTCAATCACCCCCTGATAGTTTTGGAAATATATTCCATGTACAGAATTGACCTCTCTACAGATTTATTATATAATTAGATATGAAAATGAATTTGTTTGTATGTTTGTTACCTGATAGTATTCTAACAGCTTGAGCAATTACTATGTAATTTGGTATACACGTACTATACGGACTGTATGTTGATGTATTTTGTATAATTAAACAATGGGTCTAAAGGAAAATAACTATAATAAAGAAAACTACGGAAGAGAGAAAGAGCAAAATGACAAAAAGGTATTAAAAATATAAAAGTAAAATCTATAAAAGAACTAAGGAGTTTACAACATATAAGCTACTTTTGATACCGGTCACGCAGACAAAGTCATAGCTAAAAGCTAGTTTTATTGTATTAGTAACATTATTTTTAAAGCTATAAAAATAGCTATAAAATTCACTTCATCGTCCGGCTCTTGTAGTGAGCAGTTGCGTCCCGTAAAATTAATATAAATTTAAAAATCACTACAAAGTAATTTACACCTAATTATTTCCAGTGTTGTGTCTATAATTGATTGCAGCTTTAATATAATCTTTAACTAAAAAATACTTTGACGTCAAGTGCTTGCATAGTATATGCTACGAGTTAAGACAAAACATGTCCGTTCAACGTTCGCCTCCTGAAAGAAGATCTTCATCACAATCCGATTTATTTAATCTAACGGACAATGCTTTTGTATCTTTGAGAAAGCGCAAAGAACGTGATGACATTGACAGTCTTGAACTTCGCGATGAGTTAATTATGATGGTGTCTAATATGAATAAAAACCAGGATTGTATGTATAGTCAACTACAGAAATCTTTGGAAGAAATAAAAGAACAAAACAGAACTATAGTAAAGGCACAGAAAGGAATTGAGGAAAAATTGGAAGTAATAACGGCTTCACATAGTGATCTAAATAACAAAGTGATCTCTGTCGTTAGAGATCATGAAATAATGTTAAAGAGAATACAGAATTTGGAAGACACATTAGAAGAAAGCCTACGTATCCAAAACGCTACTTCAATTGAAATACGCAATGTTAATATAATTGAGCAGCAGGAACTCCCAGAAATTGTTAAAAAAATACAAGATTCCTTAAAGATTAAACTAAATGACAGTGAAGTACGGCAAATCTCCTTAAAAAAAGTTGGGAAAAATCAGCATAATATAATTGTTCAATATCAGACTATAAAAGCACGTGAAGAAATTTTAGCAGCTGTAAAGAAATATAATGTGGATCATGAGGATAATAAACTAAATAGCTTAACATTAGGATTAAAAGGAGAAAAACGACCACTTTTTATATCGGAACTCCTCACTTCGAATACGAGGTTACTTCACTATCAGGCCAGAATGCTGAAAAAAAACCACGGATTCAAATTTTGCTGGATAAAACATGGTAAGGTATTTATCAAAAAATCTGATAATACTCCTACCATACATGTCAAAATGTTAACCCAAATTGAGGCATTAAAAATGGATTTACCAGGCTTACAAAATTGACTATGCTCTGATATTCTTAATCATAATACTATATACTGATACATTTATTTTTACTTTATACTTTACTTTGTTAATTTCAGATTATTTTTTATGGATACTGCATGTGTTGTTGCTTACATTTTAACATATACTCATACACAAACTAGTTCACTTACATTACATTTACATACGTACATATTATATCCACATTTTATTTACATTTATATACCACACACAAGTAAAGCTCTCATCCAATGCTTATCTGAAGATTCAATATTGTGCTTCCTTATGTTCATTAAATACTGCATTATTGACTTTAAATATAATGAATAATACACTAGAGGTATTAGACGACATTGACTCCAGTGTCAATGTCGGAAGTGCAATGATTGTTGATGAAGAGAAGCTCTATGGTACGTCTTTGCCCATTTCTGAAAACGCTCTTAATATTTTTACACAAAATACTCGTATACGTAGCATCAATAAAAATTTTGATAATCTTACTGTTTTATTGGATCGTATTAACTTTCAACAAGATATAATTATTCTAACTGAGTGTTGGTTGAACAAAGATTCTATTATACCAAAAATTCCGACCTATAGCTCATATTTTACACAAAACCATTTAAATCAGAATGATGGTGTAGTTGCTTTCGTTAAAGACGACTTAATTGTTAAAGTAAGCGAATCTACTGATATAGTAGATGCAAACTGTCTAATACTCACACTCCAAAATAATTTTGCTATTATTTGTGTATATAGACCTCCATCCTATCAAAATACTGAAAATTTCTTGAAGTCACTGGATAAAGTCCTCACAAAATTAAAACAACATGCAAATATATTACTTTTAGGCGATATAAATATTGATATAAAACCCGAAAATAACAGCACTAAAACAGCTGATTATTTGGACCTACTTGCATCTCATGGTTTGCTTCCATCACACGTGCTACCTACTCGTGATAAAAATTGCTTAGATCATTGTTTTGTGAAAACGATAAACTCAGTAACCACAATGGTTTGTAATACCTCAATAACTGACCATTGTAGTATATTAACAACATTACAAAAGACACAAATTTCAAGAAAGAATAAAATACCTACAATTACTAAAGTAAACTATGAAGAAGCAATTAAAGAGTTGCAATTCATTGATTGGCAACAAATTTTGACTGACGATGTAAATATGGCTACAAATATTTTTATTTCAGAAATAAATAAGGCTTTCGAGAAGCACACTACAGTTTACAAAATATCTAGGAAGAAAAGAATTATTAAACCCTGGATAACTCCAGGGTTGATACGATGCATACGAAATCGTAATAATTTACAACAAAAATTAAAAAAAGACCCTGATAATATGATTCTCAAAATAACTTATAGTAGATATCGAAACACATGCAATAATCTCTTAAAAAAACAAAAACAACTATATTATAGACAACAATTATATAAATATAATAATAACCTCAAAAAGCAATGGCACATAATTAAAAATCTCTGCTATCTGGATAAAATTAAAAATAACTCATCTGAATTGATCAATCTAAAATCTAGTCCCCAAATTTCGTTAAACTTTATTAATACATATTTTGCGAATATTGGAGCTAATTTAGCTAAGAATGTACTTGACGAAACCAACTGCAATGAGAATGAATTAGCTTCCAAATTAAAAAATACCACACCCACGGCTGGTAATTCATTTATGTTATTACCAACAGATGAGACGGAAGTAAAAAATATTACATTAGGACTAAAAAACAACTCTTCAACGGGATGGGATGGTATTCCCACATCTTTTCTAAAAAGTGCTTTTTCGATACTTACAACTCCTATTACAATAATTTGTAATTTATGTTTTTCCAGCGGCGTTTTCCCTAATGCATTAAAAAAGTCGATTATTATTCCTATATATAAATCAGGAGACAGTGATTGTATTTCTAACTTTCGTCCAATCTCATTACTGCCAAGCTTGTCTAAAATTATAGAAAAAATAATTAATAACAGACTTATAAACTATTTAGAAAAACAAAATTTACTTTCTTCTAATCAATATGGATTTCGATCAGAGAGATCCACAGTTGATGCAGTACAGCGTGTTACAACATATGTGTCGTCAAACCTAGACGCTAATAAAAAATGCTTAGGCATATTTCTAGACATCAAGAAAGCATTTGATACGGTTTCGATACCAATACTTCTCCAAAAACTTGAAAATAAAGGTATAAGAGGTATCCCTTTACAACTTTTTAAAAATTATTTACAAGATAGAAAGCAAGCAGTTAAAATAGATAATTACATTAGTAAAGAAGAACAGAACACCTATGGCATACCACAGGGCAGTGTCTTAGGACCTACATTATTTCTTGTATACATTGACGACCTGTGTCGATTAACTTCACCGAATGTTGAAATCACTACATTCGCAGACGATACTGCTGTTATGATATCTGGTTAAAATTGGATAAAAGTAGGCAGAGACGCTGATAAAATTTTTAACATAATAATAAAGTGGTTAAATAACAACCTACTAACATTAAACAAAGAAAAAACCAAATTTATGACATTTAGTATAAAAAATAACACTCAACCTCTTAATGACTCCATAGTTATTAAGGTACACCATTGTAGAGATACCGTTAATATATGTAATTGTTATCGTCTTAATAAGGCAAATTCCATACGATATCTTGGTTTAATTCTTGACCAAAATTTGTCATGGAAGGAACATATCTATTTATTGACAAAACGAGTACGTAAGCAAATATACATTTTCAAAAACATTAGAAATGTCTGTGACTTAAACTTATTAAAAGTTATATATAATTCATTATACCAATCTATCATCTTATACTGTATTCGTATATGGGGAGGCTGTTTTAAATCCCTTATAACTTCATTAGAGAGGGCTCATAGGGCTGTTTTAAAGACTATGACTTTTAAGCCAATAATGTATCCTACACATAAATTATACGAAGAACTAAAAATATTATCAGTTCGTAAATTGTACATAAAATATTTAATTGTGTTCCAACACAGATTACCAACTGACGTAAAAACATTAAAGAGAAGAAAAGATAAAATATACTATGTTCCTGGTTTTAAGACTAGATTTGCTCAAAATTTCATAAGCTTTTTGGGACCATATGTATACAACAGAGTATCAGCATGTGTTGAAATATATAAGTATTCTACGTATTTGTGTAAAAAAATAGTTGATAATTACTTATTGGAAACGGATAATAATGCTACCGAAAATCTAATGAGAGTATGAATAAACATACAAACACACATACACATTCACACGCAGACACGCAGACACACACACACACAGACACACACACACACACACACACACACACACACATACACAACACGCATGCACGTGCGTGCGCACACACGCATATTTTACATAATATGTACATATAAATCTTGAACACAATCATGCATGTCTATATTTAATCTTTATTAATTGTCTCTTATAGTTTTGTTTTGGTTATTTGGTTATAGTTATATATTATAGTTTTGTTAAGTTATTAGTCATAAATAAAATAATGTATACTTAAAAACAATTAAATAGTCCAAATTCATAAAAAGGATACTGTGACGATTATGTATACATGCGCATTTGATTATATATACATATCCGTATAAAGTTATGTACACAATTCTAACAATGAATTATCTTAAAGTTGCGCATTTACTATGTTCTAAAAATGCAGCTCGCTTTGTTTACAGTGTATACAATATTGTACCTTATTGCAATCAAGCATTAACTCACTTTTGAACTATTACGGATGAAATTGTCTTTGGTTGTTTACATTTCTTGTCACAAACATGGATTCATACTTGACCGTGATACAGTATTTCTACTAATACGGCGGGTAGAAGAAAATCCTCAGCACTTTGTATAAATCTAAATTCATATAAACTTGAAATTAGTTAGTGTCGAAGAATTTAAATTTAAGTTTCATTTAAACTATGGGAAAGCATATTTAGTAGTGTAAAGAAAAACAGTATACAAAAAATTATTTTTGTAATTTACATTTACAATCAGTTATATTTACAATAAGATATAAATTATATGAAACTAAATGTAAAACGTAAATTTAACACTGAGTTAAAATAAGAAACAAGAAACATAGTTTCGTTCGAATAGCCTTACTTTTGATACTCGATATTTGAATGGCATTTATTGTTTTTAATCTTATCTTTCTAATATAATAAAATTGTAACTAAACGGTGTCTGTACGTGGGATATATTTAGAAAAAAAATAGTCTGAAAAGATTTAATAAGAGCAATAAACATTTATTACTCAATAACATTTTTTTTTTAGAATCTTTGTCTGTCTGTATATGTGTATGTTTGTTCCAGAATCTCGCAAAAACGACTACATCAAATTGGATACAGTTTTTACAGTTGTATTACGAAAGATCTAACTTAAAATATGATGTATGCTTTATCTTTATACGCTGTATAAAAGTTTTCCTACGTCTGAAATTTATTCGTACAAAGTAGCTAGGGATAAAGTGGTATTAGAAAATAAATACTTATTGACATGATATATTATCATCAAGTCAAAATAAGTCTTCATGTATAAATAAGATGTTGTCCCACAAAAAAAAATATTATAAACTGAAAATGGATAAAATGTAATAATATTATATTTATAAACGACGTGACAACAATAATTCTATTTAAACGACAAAATTATTATAAACTATAAATTCCTAATAGGGAAACAAATTCTGAGTTTTACCAATGCCGTAGTGCATGACACTACGGCATTGGTAAAACTCAGAACTCATATTGCGTAGAATAAAAATAATAATCATTATTGTCCCACAATAAAATTATTATAAATTGGAAATTCCAAGTGGGGAAAAAATATTGAGATTTACCAACGACGTGTTATCATGATATGTCTTTTATTAAGATTTACCGACGACGTGATATTCTCATGTAACGTCAGAGAATAAAATATCCATAGTAAATTACTTAATTTTCAAAATTATTA